GTAACCCCTTTCTCACTTATCTATAGAATGAAGGAAGTTTTTCTTGTGGAAGTTAAGATTCCTTCTCTGAGGATTATGAAAGACATTGAGCTTGATGAAGTAGACTGGGTACAAAATCGGCTGGATCAGTTAAACCTCATCGACAAGAAGAGGCTATAGATTTGTGTGATGGTCGAGTGTACCAAAAAAGGATGAGAAAAGCATTTGAAAAAAGGGTGCGGCCTCAGAATTACAAACGAGGTGACCTTGTACTAAAGAGGATAATTCTTCCTTAGGGTGATCCCAGGGGAAAGTGGACTCCGACCTATGAAGGACCATTTATTGTTAAGAAAGATTTCTCGCATGGAGCTACGATGCTCGCAACCAGGGATGGTGAAGATTTCCTACTCCATGTAAACATAGACGCGGTCAAAAAATGCTTTGCATGAAAAAGACCCGCTGAGTCGACGACTCGAGAAAAAAAGGGCATCACAGCGAACAAAAAAAAATGAACAAAAAGGTTCATGAAAAAATTAGGGATAAAAAATGAAGAATGAAAAGAATAATTACACCCACAAAGTTGAAAACCTGAAAAGGGAGACTTAGAAAAAAAAAGGGTATCTCGGTGGATCGAAAAACCCGAAAGGGAGATCCAGGCAAAAGTTAGGGATTTAAAGCGAATGACTACATCTAGCGTCAGATCCCAAATTTCATCTACTACTACAGTTGGTCACCTAGTAAAGGTAAGAATCAGTCCAAGTAATCTTCTTATGAAAGCAAGGATATGAGAGCTACGAGGTCATACGAGTTATAGCAAAATCAGAACATGATGGATATCCGTTTCACATTGCCATTTGTAAACGCTCTTTTATTTTTGCTTTAGCAATTTCCTTTTTCTAGGAATTGTTTCGTGATGTAAATTCCTCTTTATAGACCAATTTAAATCAATAAAAATATTCTTTTATCCAAAAAATGCATGCTTATAATCTTCTTTTACTATTTTGTTTGCAAAAAAGTCCAATATCTTTTTGATAAAAATTTGCATAAGAAACATTTAATGGATTTGCACAACATGATAAATAAATTACATATATTACTCTTAAGTTGTTTGTAATTTGGTTGGAAGACAAAGTTGTCCTACCATACCTAGGGCACATGTGGTGATTTGTTTTGCAGTAACCATCATTCACTCGCTTGTGAACAGATTCGCCAATGCCAGAGCAATATCTTTCAAGATGATTACAGTATCCTCAACTTGGATTATATCCCCATCAGGATTTAAGTCTTTACTTTTCCCTAGTGAATCTCCCCAAGAAGAAAGGGTGACTGAGAGTAGAAGATTTTACTTCTCCCCAACATCGCCAAGCGGAAGACCCTTTGTCTTAAAGTTGTAAGTAATGAGAGTTCTCGGAGTAGAATCTCCATTCCCCAGCAGACGTTGGTACTGAGTTGTACTCATTGGGAGAACACCCATGCCTCAAGAAGAGTTATTTCTCCTAGCCAAGAGCCATGGTGGAAATTCCTTTTATTCCCCAATGAAGTCTCTTCATAAAGATTTTCTATTAAGGAATCTTCTCATCTTCCCAGCAGAAGCATGGTCTGAAATCCCTGGTGCTCAAAATTTTTATCCCTAACAAAGTCTATTCAAGATTATTCTGTGTCCCTAGTGCAGTCAAGTGTAGTTATATGAGGATCATCTCACTTCCATAAGAGGCAACTTTCATAGATCTCTTGCCTAAGATTCTCATTCCCCCATTATAGTTGCCTTCCTGAGGTCTATCGCCTAAGATACTCAGTTCCCCAGCAAAGTTACCTTATAAAGATCTTTTGTCCAAGACTTATCCTTTCCCAGGGGCATTGGCATATTTGAGATCTCTTATTCAGGAATTCTCATTTCCTCAGTAGATCCATTTCATTAAAGAGGTCATATTCAAGGATTTTACCTTTTCCCTAGTGGATTTTAATCCTGACTGTTGATAAGCATCATATCCCCAGAGGAGTGCACTATTGTAACCTTTTGACCGAGGACCAGATACCCTTTGCAGGGTTTGTTTCTTATCAAAGATAATTCTTATTCCCCAGTGGAGTCATTCTATAAAAACTTGATTGAAGGTTCTTCATATCCCCAGCAGTGCATGTTTTATCATCCTCGGTGAGAGGTTGATAATGGACTCCCTAAGCAGTCAGAGGGGTCTTTATTCCCCGAAGGCCCATTATCTATTGGTATCCTCCTCAGCAACGCCCGACCAGTTGTCGTCCTATCTCAGAAGTTACAATTTTGATCTGATCTTTTCCAGCGGAGTTTGCAATTTATTTTTGCAGCTCCATTCAAAGCTTATAGCCCATATTCACTGGTTACTAAGTTTGTTACTCCCCACAGGGTTGCAGCTTCTCAAGGATACCTTTCCAGCGGTTCTTTTAGTATTCTTCTCTCCAGTAGAATCATGCATCATCGCATTGCATCCTCAAAATTTATTGTTTCCATTTTTATTTTGGAACATTATTCCATAAAAAAACAATTCAAACATGCATTAAAACATAAGCCATTGTTGCCTCCCTTCATTTCCAAGAAGAGTTGCTAAAAAGATTTGGGTTATCCCTCGGTGAGGTTACTATATCCTCAATATCCAAATTTTCTCCTACAAATATCCTTTTGATGTTATCATCAGAACATCGACTGTTTACCCTTAAAGGCCCAGTTCCTCCCTAGCACAATTCTCTCGGGTTTTATTAACCTTTCTTAGGTCATCTCTATTGTCTATTGATGTACCTTCCGAATCAAGTTCTACCCCGGTATTTTTGCTTTGATCCCACCAGCTTTCCTATAGCATGGATATGGGACGTGGTGATCAAGCTCTTTTAGGTCAAGCATTTTCTTGTAACTGTGCGTGAAATCCAGTTTTGTCCTGGTACTCATCCTAGTCTCTACTACTGGTATCTTGAGTTGAGTCTACTACTTATTTTTAAGTCTCAATGTTTGATTAGTCTCTACTCTTAACCTTGAGCCGAGTCTTCGCTCATTATATGTTTCTTTTACACCTTGGTAACCTTAGTATCTACTGTAAATCCTTGGTTGAGACATGTAGGTGTTCTTCGAAATACACGCACTCTCTAACACCATGTTATAGGACCCAATTATGTTTGTTCTCCTATTAAGTACTTTTGGGTTGGGTTCGCTGCTCTTTCCCTCGTTTGTGTACTAGTTGATTCTTGGAACATTCTTTACAGTACTCCCTAAAGGCTGAGTTTGCTACTCGTTGCCTTTCCACGATCTCCACCAAAGTTCCAATTGCGTGTCAATGGTCCATGGTGATCGATACCATATTAGTCTAGTGTTATCTGTCACATACAATTCTCATTGTTATCTTCAACGTTTAGCTTCTACTAGTCATGTCTTGGGTTGAGTTTCTACTCATTTTGGCTATTTGTGAACCAGTTCATTCCTAGTGTATCACCCTCCAGAGTTTAAGTTTCACTGCTTTCTCCTCAATACCCGCAAATCATATCCAAATTGTTAAATACCTTTGCAAAAATATAATTGCTAGTTTCTTGCGCCTCTGTTCTACCCAGAGCATAAATTTTTGGGTTTTTTTAGTATTCAATCCTCTTCTACCATGAACATTCGAAAGCTGTCGCTTTTCTCACTTATTAGGTTTAAGATGATTGAATAGGGGCAGGTGTTGTATCCCAAAATTTCCCCTCTTCATTTCAACCCTTTTTGGCTTATATTTCATTATCATATGCATACGTATATATCATTAGTTCTATGGTCATGGGATCAAGGTATTTCTTTTAAGCCTCGACAGGTTACGGAAGATGTTTATTTCGTCATTCAACATGCTCCGAGCATTCTCCAGGGTATCCAGTTAGTGGCTAATCAAGCCTTCATCATGAAAAGTTCTTGTGTATTCCAGCATGCCTTGACAGCAGAGAAAATCAAGTCTTTCAGTCAGTTTGGAACAGTTTGAGCTGCAAATCGGTATTTCATAGCGTGACTCCAAAAATTCATAACTTCTGGTCGGGAAAATATTCTTGAGTGGTTCTTTGAGCATTAGGACCATCTTAGCATTCCCTTCATTTTATATGTTTAAGTTGAGAGCCAATTCTTTGAGGAAGATCATCAAATATGCAAATACCTTGAGATTTGGATTTACTGGTCAACTGCTTCTCTGATGTTCAAAAATTTGTAACTTTTGTTTGGCTCAATATTTCCTAGTGGTTCTTCATCCATAAGAATTTAATTGGTATCCCCTCCAATTCATATGTTCGAGTCAAGAACTAATTCTTTAAGGAAGATCTTCGAATGTGCAAATATCCTAGAAGTATATAGTGAAAACAATGTGCTGATTATGGGTTTTTTGGATGTTCAAAAATCCATAACTTTCATCTGGTTTAACATTCTAGATCGGATCTCTCCGTATAAAATCCGTTTTTATATCCTCTACATTTTGTATGTTGGGCTCGGAAGCCAATTTTGCGCAGAAGATCTATGAAAGTGTGTATTACCTGAGAATTTATACAGCGAAATAGAGCGTTGGTTCACTGTTTTATCGATATTGTAAAAAGCATAACTTTCTCGATTTTTATCATATCATGACGATTCTAAAAGCATGAGGTCACAAATTTTGTTAGCTACAGCTTTGCTTCAGGTCTTGAGTTCGAATTATGCTTTGAAGGTTTCGGTTTATAGTTCGTTTCTCAAATTGAACAGTAAAATAAGCTGAAAATCCGGCGCAACCCAAAAAATGGAAATCTGGCTGAAGTTTCTAGCCATTATAAATCCATAACTTGTGAAATTCTTATCGTATCAGAGTGATCCTTTCGGCACGACGTCACAAATTTCGTTATCTACGATTTTACTTCAAGTCTCGCGTCAAAATTTTACACCGAAAGTTTGTTCTCGCGCCGTGCATTAAAAAAGCTGAAAATTATGCTTTATGAAGGAAATAATTGGGCTTCTCTTGGGCCAAGCAAGGCCCAAATACCCAACTATATATATACATTTTCCCCCAAATTTTTCCACACATTATTCATTATAACAAAATTTCTCAAAATCACTCTCAATTTTCTCTCATTTCTCTCTCAACTTTCAAGAAACTCAAGAACACAAAAGTTACAAAAGCTCATTCCTCCTTCCACAAGAATCGCGCAACACCACCTAACTCCTGGCCACCTCCAGTGATTTCCGGAAACTACCGGCCACCGCCCGACCGCTCTCTCCGCTATCAATTCCGGCCGTGGATCTCCTTCTTCGGCGAGTTCTTCTTCTCCGGTAGCTCTCTTCCGAATCATTCAACTTCTCCGATCTTCTTTCAGTTATTGGTTCTTGAAGCCTTGATTTAATTGATTACTTTTGAGATTTTATTGTTGAATTAAATTGAATTTTGTGTAGTTCAACATAAATTGATTCTTGAATTGCAATTGAATTATGGAGTTAAGCACTTAACTAATTCGTAATTATTGATTAAATCAATTCTTGAATTTCGATTATGAACAAATGTGGAATCCCATGATACTTTAATCAAGTGTGTGAAATTCATAAGTATCTACATGGAAAATTAGATTTAATTGTTGATTTTCCGCGTTGAAACTTAATTATGATCCGATAATTGTTGATAACTAAGTTTCATTAGTTGATTTAAGTCAATTTCGATAACTTTGAGAATTGATTTTGTTGATATTTACCCGTCGCAATTTGATTCAGGTTCATTATCCTTTTGACAATTGTTTGAACACATGAATTAGAATTAATTTTCATGTTGTTTAACCACTTTCGGCGCGTAAATTGATTTTGTTTAAATGCTTGATAATTGCGGTTTCGGTACGGATTTCACGGATGCATTTTGTTTGTAAATTTCGTTTGAGTGTCCATATGTTGATATTCGAAATTTGTGCATTAAAACATTGATTTTCTAAGCAGTTATTGGTAAATATAAACATGTGAGCAATGCTATCGGAAATTTACAAATACACCATAAACCATGAAATAATTTTGACTTTTCACATTCTTGAACTTGTTTGCACAATCTTTGATACCGGTACCAAATTCCGTTGATTTTAACGCAACTTTTTTAGCATTTCATGTGTAAATTCATTGTTGTTTGGAAAATAGTTTTTGCATGTGTTGTACCCCAAAATTTACTCTCCCATATTTCAAGACAAATTGATTAAAGACACCTCCTCATGCTCCTAGGGTTCTCAATTGCTCAAAAATAATCAAGGGTTTAAGCATGCAAGCACCTCTCCAAAGCAATTGACCTACAACTAGGGTTTTGTGTTTCTCAAAAGAAATTTTAGCTTTTAATGCCTAAAGTGGATTCCATGATTCCTAATATGCTTCAAGGTACCCTAATGACAAGTTTCAAGTCTTGCACCACAAGCTTGCTCAATCAATTTCTCAGATGATTGAAAATAAATTGTATTGGATAAAAAGTCAACTATGGTCAACATACAGTCAAAATTTCAAGATTTTTGGTCAGCATCAAGATTTTGAGGTCACATTCATTATTTGATCAAGGGTTGATCATGATTCATCAAGAAAACTCAAGATTCATCAAAAGTCAAAAGTTACTAAATTAGGGTTTTCTTTAGGAGAAGTCAACTAAACATAGACCAAACATAACTTTCACTAAGTCCATTTTTATGGAAATTCAATTTTCTACAACTTTGTCTCTCTAAGCTCAAGTCTAAAAAATGATTCATTTGAGAGATATGAGTCAAAACATTACAAGTCATTTTGAAAGTAAATAAAAAGACATTTTTTTGTCAAAGCAATTTACAAAATGTTAAAGACTTCAAATGATAAAGTGACCAACATGAGAGTTGTAGGAGATATCTTGAGCTTTCCAAAAGGTCCAAAAATCACCTTCATATGATAAAATTTGAGAGAGTTATGATTTGTGCAAGTTGAGCAATTTTCGAGAAATGCATGAAACTTCTATTGAGCAACTTTGAATTGTTGGACTAATGGGCCTAATTTTTGAGGTTTAAACATGTTTATAACATGATAGAGGACCTCTAAATTCATTCATGCATTGCCATTATTTTTTATTTTATTTATTTTAAATTTTACTCAAATATTTTTAAAATAAATCAAATTAAATATCAAGTGATGGGCCAAGGCATGGTTTGTCTTCATTTGGATCAAGTTGGAAGCCCAATAACTCCTTGCCAATAATGCAAAATTGTGTTTCCTCAATATGGAAAGAGAATTTCACTTGTTTTGGAAGGTTTTTAATTGGTTTTCGAAATAAATCATGCCATAATTACATATGGTTCCATACCACATTTGTTGACCTAGAATACTTGGCTTATAAATACACAACCATCAGACCAAGAAAGACACACGCATGAGCTGCCTAAAAAACCAGGTTTACAAACTCTAAATTTTCAAGGAAAAGTATGGAGGTCGTATTTTAATTTCCATGGGTTTGTAGTCTAAACTAGGTATCCAAACTGCTTTCTAAAGTACTCAGGAACACGCCCAGCCCAAAAACCAGAAGATTTAGTGCCCAAGACTCGTGCTTCAAACTCCACCAGTTTTCATTTTTCTTTGAATTTAATCTTAATTTTTATGCATTAATAATGTGTTTAATGAGCCCAAATGTGTTCAGGACATTGTTTAGAAAAAGTTTGAGTGTTACATGCAAGCTTTGATGCATGAATCTCTATCTGCCATTGTTAGGGAATAGAAATATGTTTGCTTCGAATCTCTGCTTACATGTACATTCAGGCCACAAAAATCTGTCATTGGATTCGTAGCCCTCGATTTAGGGGGATAGGGTCCTCTTTTCTTTCTAACATGCGCTGTTTTTGCAGATCCATGAAGCACCTAGCGGGAGAAGACGATTGGATCTAGGGCTCAAGTGCTTCTCCGATTCGTTTATGTTGTTTATTATATAATATATTTTTTGTGTTTTAGCAACAAAAAAGAAGCATGGCTCAGTTGGCAAGCAAGCGCGTGTATTATGAAGAACATGGGTTCGATCCCTGTCTTTTGCAATGTTTTTTTTCTTCTATTTTTCCAAATTCATGTAGGTTTCATATATTATCATTCTGTTCTATTTCCAAACGCAAATGAGCGCTTGGCCTAGTGGCAAGCAGTGCATCCTGAAAGTCAGGAGAGTGTGGGTTCGATTCCCACCCATATGTAACTTCTTTTAACACTTTTTCTAACCCTTTTCCTTTCTTATATTGCCACTATTTTATTTCTTTTTTACAATTAAAATCAAAATCCAATAAAAAATTAAAAAATAACTTGTAAAAAAAAGGTTTAGTCTTTTTATCAATTAATTTAATTAATTAGATTTAGGTTTGTTTTAATTAATTAATTTGTAATTAAAAATTAGACATTAGTTTTTTTTTAATTATTATTAACATATAAAATCAAACCAAAAATACACAAAAAATATTTGTTAACACCTCAAATTTTTAGGACTTTAAAACATCTTTCCAAACACTTTTATTTATCTTTTGCATTTAAATTCCTAAAAACAATTGTATAGTTCGCACGGGTTTTTTGTAATAGCTTAGTGTTTAATTTCTCGCAAGGTTTTATTAAAAATTATAACTTCCCCGAAGCCATGTAATAGCCCCGGGGTTTTACTTTTCTCACTTATATTTTATATATCTGTATATATAACTGTTAGATGTATTCTAATATGGTTTGTATAGAAAGATAAAATCAATCGATAGAAAACCCTAATTCTCAAGATAAATATAACTGAACTGAACACACTTTTCACACTCACAACTCTAGGGTAACCCCTCTTGTTGCCTTCGGATAAATGGTCATGTCCCTCGAAATTAGGGATACTTTAGCAAAAGACCCTCAAAATAAAGATCATAGTCCCTCGATGACCCTTCGATGTTGCCTACAAAAAATTATCTAGTCCCTCCAATACGAAATTGCTAAAGTATCTTTATATGTTGCCTTCAATAACCATTCAATGACCCTTCGCATGTCCCTTCACATCCAATAGATAGGGCTACCTACCAATTAATGGTACGGATAGCATTATCTCTAAAGGAGAAGGAAAAGAATAAGAACGACCTTGAGTGGGTAAGGAACTTTAAATTGCTTGCTCACAACTTTTCTCAAAAAACACATTTTTACACATCACACTTTTAAAAAAAATATTTTCAAACACTTTGTACGCATTCTTGAGGACTTATACAAGTTAGCTTTTCAAAATATTTTCAAACAAACCACACATACAAAGAAAATTTTCAAAGTGAGCTAGCGATTAAGAGCCCGTTGATAACTACGAATGAAAAGGATGCTAACATCGTCCCTTTTCATAACTTACCCCCCGAACTCAAAATCTATCAAGGTCTTTTCTGTTCTTTTCAGCCTTTCCTTATATTGGATAAAAGAAAAGTCGGTGGTGACTCTCGCTAACCGCAACATTTGCGATAAAACGGTAAAAAAGTCAGTTCTCCCACTATATTATAGAACTGGCGACTCTGCTCGGGACTAATTAAAAGAGGGATTACCTTAATATTTTAGATCACTTTACTTGCTTAAATTGTGTGCTTTGTCTGCTTTAACCTTAAGGGCTTGCTTGGGTTTATTATTTGAAAGATCCTACACCCGGATCTAGGGATGCCTTAGGTAAGTAGCAATAGATCATAAAAATTGTACGACGTAGACCGATATGGTTGAAGTGATGGCTACGGTTAGTGCAACACTTTGGTTTGTACTTATGTTCCTTGAGTCAGTCAAGGATAACATTAGGCTTCTGCATGGTGTCATTAGCACTAAATAACTTTTAGAACCTTAATTAACCCATCTTGGCCATTAGAAGGTAGTGAGATGGCCAGCTTTGGTGCAATCCAAGGTTGGTTGATACTCGATGCTACACTTATTGAGATTCGACTCGCGGGATGTTTTGGTGGAAAGTCAGTTGTCGTACTAAAATAAAACATTTGAGAAAGATCAATGATATGAGATTCCTAGAACCCAGATACTATTTTAGGACAGGTTGGGCCAACTTTACTTCAATAGAGAAGGGTACTTACCTATGGACCTCATGCAAGCCTTTAAACCTAAGGCTCTTATATGATTTATTTGTGTTTTCTACTTGTTTAAACATGAACATGACATCATGACATCATAACATCATAACATCGTGATATGGAACTTTTACTAACCATTTCAAGGATCTTAGGGACCTTTGGTGCAGGATTATCATAAGCCCGATTGATAGCAAGGGGCAAGAGGATTTATTTTCCTCTAACCAGATGTCGTCAAAGATAGAAGTACGTTCTCTTGAGTTAGAGGATAGGACCCACTTGATATGGTGAGCTTGACTCTTATAGAAGGACGTTCAAAAACAAAAACT